AAACCAGCAACATGGGTCCCGCTTTCTTCCGCCCATCACCCCCTCTCACCTTTCCCCTACGTGGCCACTCAGCGTTCTCACCTAATTACCCTCTCTCCCGTGCCTCCGAGCTCGCGGCTACCATCCTCGCACAACAGTCTCCCCACCCACCCCTTCCTGCCTCCCATCCTTCTCGTCCCGTCCCCCTTTAGCCGCACCTCCTTCCCGTGCCTCCCTTCCCTCCCTGCTCCTCCCTCCCCCGTCCTTCTCATTGCCCCCTACTACACGGTCTACCAGCGAATTCGCAAACCGTGCAGCTGCCAAAGCTGGCCGAGGTAAGCTGAGGGCTGGCCGAGTCAAGCCAAGCTTTAGTAATTGCCCTTTTTATGCATTTTTGCAGCTGTGCTATGCGGAAAACGCATATTTACGACGTTGTTTGTGTGCCTGTGTGTGCGCTGTGTGTCTGTACCGATTTTTCATCTCGAGACCTACAAAAGCTACAGGGTTGAAAGTTTGGGAACTTAATCTACCTGCGTGTTTGGGCCCCTATCTCCAAAATGGGCGCTCTTACCCGCGTGATACCTACGTATGGGTCCGCCAAATTTTTTCCCGGATAAGTTGTTAACTCGGAGACCTGAACAGCTAGAAGACTGGAATTTTAAGGGGACGTCCCCCGTTCAAGTACGTATTTCAAATGCGTGGTACCCACGTAAGAGTCCGTGAAAATTTCTTGCAAGCAAGTAGCTAACTAGGAAGCCAGGAAAGCTAGAAAGCTGGAATTTTGAGGGGATGTCCTTTAACAGCTCTGGAGGCCAGTCTTAATTCGTTTATCTACGGGCATCTGCGGGAAAAACCGGTGTTGTTAGCACAAAAACCTGTGGGGGAACTATGCAAAAAATGTGTCTTGGCACCGGTAGTCGGTGCGATGGCCATTTATTTGCATCCATGCAGTACAAAAACGAATGTTGTCGAGATGTCTGCTTGTATTTTTCCAATATGTGCGTCTGTGCCGAGTTTTCATCTCGGGATCTACAAAAGTTACAAGGCTGAAATTTTGGCAACTTACTCTACACCTATGTACGGATGTTTGTCCTCAAAATGCTTGTGCCCGCGTAGCTCTCACGTACGGACATGCAGAAGATTTTTTGGTGGGGAGGCGATTTCGGGAACCATGCAGGCCAGAACACGGAGGATTCACGAGAATGTTCATTTACATGTCCAACCCAAAGATTTCAAACACTGTAGCACCGTTTTCCTTTCTGCCCCCGTTGTTTACCTAGTTGTTTCCTTGTTTGTAAGACAACTCTACACCTACTCCTAAGCATCATAAATTTCTCCTAAATTTCGAGCGTGACCTAGGACAGCATTTGAATAAGCACATATGAGAACATTCACGCCCTTTTCGCACACGGATATGTGGGATTTGACATAACCCCGCAATCGAAGCATCTAGAGTGCTGAATTTTTTTGAGCATGGATTTGGAGCCAATTTCTGACAATCATGCTGGCCAGTCTCAATTCATTTAACTATAGAAGCATCTGCTGGAAAAACCAGTGCCGTTTGCGTCAAAAACCAGCACGAGAACTGTGCAAAAAGACACAACTTCGCACTGGCAATCGGTGCGCTGGCCAATTATTTAGCTCAACACGTCGCTTGTCTGAGGAGAGTTTGACTGCTTACATGGTTACGGAGAGATACGCAAAGCAACTTTCACTTCAACGTTCTCTTCGATAAAGCCAATGTTTGTTCTTTAACTTCCGTAACTGTTATCAAGGTATTAATTGTTTTATTAGAGCTTCTGAAAAGAAAAAAAGAAAAATTCATGCGTCAAAAACGATAAAAGTTTGTCAGCGGTACCAATTTAAACTCATTTTCGGTGTGCAAGTAAGC